TGAAGCATTCACACAATTGTGATCCTTTTTTTTCCGTACATTTTTGGCATCTTTCTCATTCCACAATTTTTGTGCTATTTCAACAAATCATATCAAAACGTTCAGCTCGTTCAGGAGAAGGGTTCTATGACTTTTGGTATTCGTGCAACTTTAGCTTTTTGAAATATTTAGCTTTTTCTGCCATTTTGTTCTCATAGAAAATTTAGCTAATTTTACATTCTTCAGCTCTTTGGATGTGTTTACAGCCTTTTACTGCTCCTTTCACATTTTGTTCTGGTTCAACTTCTTTCAACTTCCTTGTGCAAACTTAAACATTTTTTCAGCTACTTTCAACTGTTTTTTCCAGCTATTTTGTGCTCCTTTCTGCTTTATTCTGCTAACTACAGCATTTTTTGTGTCTTCTAATTTCTTTCTGCTAATTTGAGCTTGTTATGCTCCTTTCAGATTAGTTCTGAAAGTTTTAAAATTTTCTGCAATTTCAGCTACCATTTAGCTGCTTTATTCTCATTTTAGCTTTTTCAAATAATTCCACATTTTTTGCACTCATTTCAACATTTTTTCCATGTAATTCATTAAAAATGTGCTCTCTCCACTTCCTTCTGGTAATTTCAGCTTCTTTGTGACTTTTAGCTACTTTTCAGTTGTGTTTTTGCTCATTTCAGCTTTTTTTTTTCAGATAATTTCCACCATTTGTGCTCATTTCTGCTTCTTTCAGCCTAATTGGTCAAACGTGTTTTTTCTGCTTTCTTCTGCTAATTTCAGTTTGTTGTACATTTTCAGCTACCATTTTAGCATTTTTAGCTAATTTCAACTGTTTTCAGATAAATTCAAGTTATTCATGTTAATTTCTGCTACTTTCAGCTTAACTTTTTACACTAATTTCAGCTTGTTATGCTCCTTTCATCTTATTTCTGCAAGTTCCAGCTTTTTCTGCTATTTCAGCTACTTTTTAGTTGTTTTATGTAAATTTTAGCCTTTTCAGCTAATTCCACAATTTCTTAGCTCATTTCAGCTCTTTCCGCTTCCTTCTGATAGTTTAAGCTTCTTTCTGCCTGTTCTGCTTTGTTAACTTCAGCTTTTTTTTTTGCTAATTTCATAATTTATGTGCTCATTTCTGGATATTTAAACCTAATTCAGCAAAAAATATCTGTTTCGCTTTCTTCTGCTAATTAAGGCTTATCCTTTCATTTAAGCTACAACTCAGCATGTTTTTAGCTAATTTCAGCTGTTTTTCTGCAAGTTTTTCAGCAATAAGCACAATTTTGTCACAGGAAATGCCATTTCTTAAGTTCATATTTGGAGTTAATAAAATTGTTTAAAAGACTAAAGAAAATCCTGGGTTTCAGGTCTGGCCACTTAATGTGTTATGTTTAAAGCTAGAGCCTTGATGATTTCACATAAAAGAACTGTTTTTCTTGTTAAGAATATACAAACAAATTGTGTAAAAATCATTAAACAGAGCAGACAGGTTCACCGGGTTCTCTTGTCTTACGAGTTGTGTTTTTGGTGCTGCTGCACAAGCAAACAGATTAACACTATTTGCTGTAACTGACGGCCTTTTACGGCGTTGACAGCTAAAAACTGCTTCCAGCAGCGTGTTTGAAAGAGGTGAGAACATTTTAAGAGAAAACAGCAGTTGAGTGCTGTGCAGTCCAACAAAGTAAAAGAAACAAATGTGCAGCTACAAAAGTCTGACACTCAAAACTCTGCTGTACTTTGATTTAAGTTGCCATTTTATACCAAAGTTCAAGCATCAACGTGCATTATTTTGGATGATTTGTTAGCAGAGACAATTTTTTATAGTTTGCAGTCCATGTGGCTTTAATAGTCAGTTTCACAGAAATTTATTTAAATTGTGGTGTTAGAAGCTGAAACTAATTCAACACATTTTCAGAGCACAAACAGATTGCACAAAATTAACTATGATTTAATTTTGGAGTGAACCAATTCAAAATGACCACAACAGCCTGATGACCTTAGAAAACACTAAATGTCAATAACTAAGTCAATTTTACAAATTATGTGCTAAAATTTGTTGTAGCTGCAGCCAAGTATCATTCACAACACATCCAGAGATCGTCTGATTTAACGTCCTTGTTCAAAACTTCATCAATACCTGTTGAAGTCTATGTTTGTTAGCAAAATATCTCAAATATCCCACGAATGACTGGATTTTAACAAAATTTTCATAAACTAAGTAGTGGATATAGATCTACAACTGGTTAACTTTTGGAGTCAATTTAAAATGACTGCCACAGCTATCAGTGTTTGTGTAAACAACAATTGAAAAGAACCAGGATTTTGGATTCAATAATTCAGCCAGACAACGAGAATGATTAAACAATTTATTGTTTTGCAGCTGCGGGTGGGAGTCTGGATCCAGTTGTGGGAATGAATCTGCGGAGATATGATAGTTAGTGGGCTGTATGTTTCAGGAAGCTTGTTAGTAAACAAAGAGCAGCTACTAACCTTCTCAGGTAGGCGAGGTTGTAGCCACCTGTTGGAGCTGGGTGAGATGATGTCACCGTAACTGGTGGGAGAGCAGCTGCGGAGGAAGGCCTTTAATGCTGCAATTAATGCAGACAGCGGGGCAATCCAAGATTGTGGTTCAAAAGCCGAAGCAGGGGTCCAGCATTGGAAATCAAAGGTCCAAAAACAAATCTAGAGGTCAATCCGTATCAGTAGGCCAGAAGGAATAGTCATTACCAGGATCGGAAGGGCAGAGCAAGATCAGATGAGGAGCAGGCAGAGCAGTGAATCCAAAAGACGGGCGTGAGGTCGACAAGAGAATCAGACAAGAACACATCTAGTACCATAAAGGGTTTGATAATCTGGCAAAGGCTTGGCATGGATGGGACTCTTAAATAGAGCAAGCGGCAGGTGTAGGGTATGAGCACTGATTAGTGGTGATGAAGTGGGCATGGCAGAGAGAGGCGAAACATGACAAAAATAGCTATAACAGTCAATCTTACAGTTACTGAGCTAAAATCTGATGTAACAGTAGCTGAGAATAATTTACAACACGCACTTTGTGTGCCTGATCAGGATATCACATGACATCACGAGATCATGTTTCCAGGTTTAACCAAAACGGCTCCATCTTTGTCATTTCTTAACGCAAGATGATCTTTGATTTAACTCTAACCTGAAAGGCGGCAGGTGATATGCTTTCCTAAAGGAATGCTAGGACTTTAATAATTTTTAATATAGTCATCAAAATAAACACATAAACTGTGTTTTGATACTTGTGGGTCATATTTTCCTAAAGCTGTCATGTTGTTTCTACAGAAGACTAAAAAGAACAAAGTAAATCTTGAATTTAAAGCAGGCTTTGCATATCAATTTATAGTTCATACTTTTTTATATTTTTTGCTACATGTTCAGAAAAAGGAAACAAGGTAGAAGAGCAATCGGTGGATTCCATTCCACAACTTCATTGCTAAAAGGCTTTTCTAATAAATTGTGCAATGACAATTTTTATAGAGCAAACAACGTAGTAAATGTAATGTAAACTAGTTCTTGAAGGAAAAACATAACCCCAAAGTAACAAGAGCTAATTATTATGAGTAAAACTAGATTATACGATGGATAGGACATTTCTAATTAATGCTTTTGCTTTCAAAGAGTGTTATTTTAATGATGCAGCTTGGCTGGAAATTAAATAACCTTGTGATGCCTGCGTCCCGCTGAGAAAACTATAGCAAAAAATAGTGAGCTGGTCAAGGTGCTTCTCTGAATAAGAAGTCGGGGGAATGAGTACCACGAGACAAGCCAATTGGAGGTGTGTATAAAAAAGAAATAGGGAGAGGGATAGCATGTACAAAAATGTGGAATAACAATAAGGGGGAGCTTTTTAAGTGTGAGAAAGAGACTGCACACAATGATGCCTCAAACACAACATTCCCCTCTTTCTTACTGCCTTTCTTTTATTCAGCCTCAGTCACACAGACATGCCTGTGTGCACACAGTATTATGTAAATAGTCTCTTCGGCAGAGTGCTGCTGTCACTGAACAAGCATCCTCTGGGCCATCCAGGCAGCCTCATTAAAACGAGGCACAGCATCCATTAATAGATACCAGCACGCATGTACACATACGCAGACACACACACATACAGTCAATAAAACACACAAAGCATTCAGACACCAATAAAGGACCTCCCGGGAATCACATTTCTAAATGTTCCTCTTAGGTGGCAGTCAAAAAAAAAAATGTCTCCAAGGAAACGGCGCAAATGTCGCTGAGAACAATGCATGAAGTCAGTGTGGCGACTAGGACTGTAGAGTGCATAAGAAAAGAATGGACAATGTGGCTTCAAACTGAGGATTAGTTCATAACTGTGTGTGAGCGGGGTAGAGTGGGGGTGGTGGGGTGTGTGGCTCTTATTCCATTTTTACAAATCAAGGTGAGTTCTTTTTACAGTGATTGCTATACTGCAATGTTTGTTTCAAAAGTTTATGGATGTTTTTAACAGTGTTTTAATTCTTAGCCTGAAAATTAAATATATATCAGCGCTATTCAACTAAACTGCTCAGGGAACCACAGTTACTGAAAGCCAGCAGCTCGGGGGCCGGACATCCAGCAATTAAAGTCATTATGTATATACACCGAGTATTACAATGATCTGTTACCTTTTAAATGTGCTTATTTTGTTGCATTGAATCCTAAATGCAATAAACAGAACCCAAACCAAACCCCCAAAGCACACGCAAAAAAATGATGAACTCATTGGTGGGCCATGCTGAAGTCACCCGCAAGCCAAGTGGCCCGCGAGCCGTCAGTTGAATAGCCCTGATGTTTATAATCAAAGTGGCCCCATGTTTCCACACAGTGTATGCAAGACACTCGTTTTGTGTCTGAATGTTAAATGAACTGCCACGATGCAGGTCTTTTTAAGAGGACAGGCATTTTACCTAATTTCAGGTTTTGTTTGTCTAGTCAAAATATTTTATGGAAACCCTGTGAAGTAAAAGTGGCCCCTGTTTGCTTGTGATCTGCTGGCCCCGCAGGCGGCTCCCGAGGTGTGGGCTTCATCCGCTTTGATAAGAGGATAGAGGCTGAGGAGGCCATCAAGGGTCTGAACGGCCAGAAGCCATCGGGTGCTGCCGAGCCCATCACGGTCAAGTTCGCCAACAACCCAAGTCAGAAGACCAGCCAAGCACTTCTGTCACAGCTCTACCAGTCCCCCAACCGCCGGTACCCAGGCCCGCTTCACCACCAGGCTCAGAGGTTCAGGTGAGTACGGCAGCACAGAGCAGAAGAGAGAACGTTCTGGGTTCAGTCACTGCATGTTCAATGCTTATGATGAAGATGTGTGTAAACTGTGTTTACAAAAAATTCATGTTGAGCCTTGTGAAACTCTCAAAGTAAAGTTGATGGTCCACTGTGCACTGATTTTACAGCAATCTTACCAAGTTTAAGCAGCATATGTTTCATCTAAATTGTGAAATGAGGAGCCATTTTACATACTCCTGGTTCTGAAAATAAAATCTGTTCACCATCTTCCCTGTTTTGCCAATAATTTTATAAGGACTCAAACTATTTTATGCGCACTGTTTACAATTCTATTTTTAATTTAGTTGATTTGCTTCTCTGCTACATTGATATACAGTTATATCCTATCAATAAAAACAAACAAAAAATCCATTGATTTATGAGTATGTAATAATGAAAAAGTGAATAATACTTTGGACTCCCATGCTGAATTTTGTTTCAAACTACTCAATTGTTTTATTATGTGCAGATGTAATAATAATAATAATAATAATAATAATAATAATAATAATAATAATAATAATAATAATAATAATAAT